ACTTGTTCTATCCAGTATGAAGACTGCAACAAATTTATCCATATTTTAGAATTTGTAATATAGCTTAATGCACAATGCTTGTGAATGGCATCCGCTGCACAAGGAGGAGTTTTGTTGGGTATTAGGATCAGGTTGCCTGTCTCTTTGGATGTTTTATATGAGCTGGTGCTTAGGAGAGCCTTGCCCTGGGCTCAGCTGTGTTCTCACTGGCACCTGTATAAACCCACAAGTAATTTCACTGAAGTTACTTTCTTCTCAGGAAGAAATTTTCTCTCAGGAAGAAATTTTTTACTCTCAGGAAGAAATTCTTTGCTGGGAGGGTGGTGAGGCACTGGAACAGGTTGCCCAGAGAAGCTGTGGCTGCCCCATCCCTGGAGGGGTTCAAGGCCAGGCTGGATGTGGCCTTGAGCAACCTGGTCTGGTGGGAGGTGTCCCTGCCCAGGGCAGGGGGGTTGGAACTAGATGATCTTTGAGGTCCCTTCCAACCCAAACCATTCTATGATTCTACTGAAATGGCTCTGGACTTGTATCACCGTAGCTGGAAGCAATTACGTTCATTTTGAAATTCCTCAACGTTCAGCAAACACTGAGGCCTACCCGCCCACACAGACGCAGAGGCACAGATACACACATGCAGGCATCAAATAAACGGCCTGACCAAGTGTATCCGCCCAGATGAAATCCAGCTGCTTGGGAAGGAAACTCTTTTCCTGCCAAGGTGGCCTAAAAGCCACCAGCCTGAGGTCAGCCTCAGCTGTGTTGCCATGACCAAAAATAGTGTTCTTGGGAATATTTACGAGGATGAATACATGCATACTTTTTCTTCCTTTAAGGAGTTCAACAGATGCTGCTAAGCTTTGAGTTTTCTAATTACAAAAAGTCCTATACGTGTCAGTATCACATGACCTGTGGCACATGTTCTGCTATCCTGTTTCCTAGTGCAGATCCAGGGAATTCCCAAGTGCCGCTTGCAAGGGGTGCCTCTGTGTTTGCAGGGACATTGTCTTTAATCACATACTTAAAAAAGTGTGTAAGTTAACTTACTTGTCTCTGATGGTTAAATGCCTTCATGTTTTCGATGACCACATAGGGCTTATGGAGTTGCAACGGCATAGCCCATCAGAGAGGTGACACAAAGGACTGATGCCTTGAGTGGAACAGAGAAATGATGCTTCAGAGAACAGTGCTCTTGCTTGGGCAGTGTTCTGTCCTCACAAGACATGCAGCTTACACTCTTTTTAAGCTGTTGGAAGAGCCCCCACATCCTGTCCCATGAGACAAGGCTGGGTGAGGGACAACACCATGCTTCATCTACTCCCTTCCCTGAACTTCTCTTGCTGTCCTGCAGCAGTAACTCTCAGTGCCACAGTAAGGAATTCTACAACGTTCCCTGAATGACATAAAATGAACCACGTAATTATTTAATTTCAAGAGAATGACAAAGACTTTCTTCTGAAGGACTTAATATGGGGAACTCAGGAATTCTTGCAAGATCATGGTGGAAGATGTTTGCAAACCCCATGGCCCTGCGGGCTAGCTGCACTGGCAAATTATCAGGAGCCTTTCAAACCACTGTCTGGTCATCCTTCTAAGGAAGGAGCAGCTGGCACCTACAAGCATGTCTAGATTAAAAAATAGTGCAGACAAATCCCTCTGTGCTTCCAGCAGGATGGATATAAGCCAACTCTAGTCTAAGACCTGGATAGCTGTGTTGTGCTAAGTGAGTACATTAGTTAGGATGTGGTGCTGTACTGACTTGGCAAGGTGGCCTCCAGATGGGAATGAGCTTAGGTTCATGTGGCCCAGGGAGCAGGCACTACATGTTCGACTCTTGTCCCCATGGTGGCATGCAGAAGAGAGAGTTACAGATTTCAGCCAAAAGCCACCACAGCCTGGCAGCTTAGGTAGCCTACAAGAACCCAAAGGTCTCGTCACATATATGGACCTGCTCAGATGGCAGGATGTGAGAGTCAGTCAACCCAGCATGCAGACACATTAGATGGTACAAGCACGTTGCTCAGAGCTAAAGATAGGCTTGTTGGCCGTATCACCATGCAGCATTGCTCAGCTAGTTCTGTGTCCACTTTTAAATGAGGAAGAAGTTGGGATATCATTCTCCAAGTTAAAACTGAGATGACTTGTCCCCAAATAAGGTCCTGTTCTTACTTATTTATTTAGTAGACACACCTTTGGTCTGGTTTTAAAGATAGTTTTCTTGAAAAATTATTAAAGGGTTATTTTTTTCATACAGCACAGAGACAACATCCTCCCAGTTGTTTTCTGAGCTATTGGTCACAGGCTCCATCACTTCAAGCTCCACAGCAGATGGATCAACATATTCCTCAGATGTGTCCTTTGAGGATTTATCTTATCCTGCCTCTGTCACACGAATCACAGAGATGCCCCGTCTGGCACGATCTTCTGGCCTAACTCAGGCTTCGCAAAGGAAAGCCATAGGTAAGCCTCTGGAGATGATTTCAATTCTTGCAGAAGCAAGACAGGGAGCCAGCAGAACTGCCACCTTGGACTTCCGAAAGCTAGGCTTTGGCCTGCTTAGGAGCATGGTTGAGATTGTCCCCTGGAGAGGAGACAGTTCTGAAGGGCAAAGTTGCCCAGGAAGGCTGGTCATACTTCAAGGAGGAACTCACAAAAGCACAGGAGAAGGCCATCCCCAGGTCCCATGAAACGAGCAGATGGGGAAGAAGACCAGTCTGGCTAAATAGAGAGCTTTGGCTGGACCTCAGGGAGAATATGGAAGTCTATGATCTCTGAAAAAAGAGGTTTGTTACTTCTGAGCAATATCAAGGTGTAGTGAAGATATGCAGGGGAAAAATTAGAAGGGCGAAAGCCCAAGCAGAACTTAACTTGGCTACCACAGTTAAAGATAACAAGAAGAGTTTTTTTCAGTATATCAGTAAAAAAAGAGGCAGGCTAGGGAAAATGTAGGCCCACTGATGAATGAGGTGGGTGCCTTGGTGGTGGAAAACACAGAGAAGGTGGAGCTGCTGAATGCCTTCTTTCCTTCGGTCTTCACTGCCAAAGCTGTCCCTCATGAATCCCAGACCCTGGAGACAAGGGGGAAGGTCCGGAGGGAGGAAGACTTTCCCTCTGTTGGGGAGGATTGGGTCAGAGACCACTTGGCCAAACTAGACATCCATAAGTCTATGGGCCCTGATGGGATGCACCCACGAATGCTGAGAGAGCTGGCAGATTTTATCGCCAATCCACTCTCCACCATTTATGAGAGGTCTTGGAGAACAGGAGAAGTGTCTGAGAACTGGAGGAAGGCAAATATCACACCAGTCTACAAAAAGGACAAGAAGGAGGACCCAGGGAACTACAGGCCAATTGGTCTCACCTCTGTCCCTGGGAAAATAATGGAAAGACTTGTTCTGGATGTCATCTCCAAACACATTGAAGATAAAGAAGTTATTGGAAGTGGTCAACACAGATTTACCAAGGGTAAATCATGCTTGACCAATCTGATAGCCTTCTATGATGTTATAACTGGATGGCTGGATGAGGGGAGAGCAGCAGATGTCATCTGCCTTGACTTCAGCAAGGCTTTTGACACTGTCTCCCATAACATCCTCATTAGAAAATTAAGGAAGTGTGGGCTAGACGAGGGGGCAGTGAGGTGGATTGAGTCCTGGCTGTGTGACAGAACTCAGAGGGCTGTCATTAATGGAGCAGGGTCAAGTTGGAGGCCTGTGACCAGCGGCGTCCTCCAGGGGTCAATACTCAGCCCAGTCCTGTTCAACTTATTCATCAGTGACCTGGACAAGGGGACAGAGTGTATCCTCAGTAAGTTCACTGATGATGCCAAAGTGGGAGGGCTGGCTGACACTCCGGAGGGCTGTGCCACCATCCAGCAGGACTTGAACAGGCTGGAGAGCTGGGCAGAGAAGAACCTAATGAGGTTCAACAAGAGCAAAGGTCCTGCACCTGGGGAGGAAGAACCCCAGGCACCAATACAGGTTAGGGGTGGATCTTCTGGGAAGTACTACTGAGGAAAAGGATCTGGGAGTCCTGGTGGATGGCAGGCCAGTGTGGCCAGCAGGTCGAGGGAGGTCATTCTCCCCCTCTGCTCTGCACTGGTGAGGCCACAACTGGAATAGTGCATCCTGTTCTGGGGTCCCCAGTTCAAGAGGGACAGGGAACTACTGGAGAGAGTCCAACGTAGGGCAACAAAGATGATTAAGGGATTAGAGCACCTCCCTCTAAGGCTCAAAGAGCTGGGGCTCTTTAGCCTGGAGAAGAGAAGACTGAGGGGAGACCTCATCTATGTTTACAAGTTCCTAAAGGGTGGGTTTAAGGATGATGGAGCCAGACTCTTTTCACTGGTTTCCAGTGACAGGATAAGGGGCAACGGGCACAAGTTGGAACATGGGAAGTTCCACTCAAATATGAGGAAGAACTTCTTTACAGTGAGGGTGGCAGAGCCCTGGAACAGGCTGCCGAGAGAGGTCGTGGAGTTCCCTTCTCTGGAGATGTTCAAGACCCACCTTGATGCAGTCCTGAGTGATGTGCTCTGGGCAATTCTGCTTAGGGGAGTTGGACTAGATGATCTCTAGAGGTCCCTTCCAACTCTGTCAAATCTGTGAATCAGTGAATCCATGAATCCATGAGACGCGACTGCTTTGTATTTAGGAAAGAAAAACACTGCCCTTAATCTGCAGATGTGGACAGTATGAAAATATAACCCTACAGCTTGAGAGAAGGCTTTGGTTATATTGCAACTAATGGCATGGAGCAGCCCACATGCAATTTCACATCCCACTTTCTGTCTGGGACTGATCATGTCTCCAAACTTGACAGTAGAAGGTGAGGCCTCAGGTGGTAAAGAATATGCTTGTGTTCCCTGGATTAAGTGGTGTTATTTCCTTGTGTTTCATAACGGGCACAGCCACAATAAGAACTCCATATGTAAAAAGAACCTCTTATTTTCGTGCCTTATGTTATAGTAGGCTTAGCTTTCCCATGTAGAAAAATCTGCAACCATGTTCCAAGCAGTGTGTCGATGCCTGGACGAGGTTTGTCTAAAGAGGTATGTACATGTTCTGGGGTCCATGACTGGCCCAGAATAAGCTGCTGAACAGTAAGCACTCAGCTCTTCCCTGTCGCAGGGGTTGTGATGGTTTCCAAATCACAGCCAGGGCTGAGAGCAGCCTCGATGGGGTCATGAGGGTCATGAGGGTCATGAGAGAAGGAGGACAGTGAGGCAGAGCGTATTTGGCCCCAAAGATTTAAAAATGCTCTTTAGTTACTTCAACACACAAGAGCAAATCAACAGTGCTTCATCAACAGTGCAGATCAACATATTAGGGGGCTTGCTCAACATCCTGTGAAAAGGGGATGCATCACAGCTCGTGAAACACGGCCATGACTAGAGTTTCTAGTCAGTGGGCAATTCTGATATTTTGGCATTTGCTTTAGACCTGCACAAAGATAAAAATGGAAACACTGATATCTGGGGGGAAACAAAAAAAAAATGGATAAAAATGGAAACACTGATATTTGGGGGGAAACAAAAAAAAAAAATGGATTTTTTTATTCTTGTGGTACCTAGCTACTGGTCTGTGTGCATATGCACCCATCTTTCTAACCTTGTTAACTTTGGAATACATGGAGAAGTTTCTCACTCCCAGGCTGGTACGGGGATTGTGTCCTCAGGGATGAGGTCCTACATGTTTTCTGAAAATTGACGGTCATCCATGAGACACTGTTAGTGCTCCTATTAAAGAAAAGGTTGGTATGTCCTTCCCTCCTTCCCGTTTATTAGCCATCAGAGAACCCACATGATGCCAGGGCAGGGGGATGGGGAAGCAGAGTGAAGGGAAAAAGTCATTAGAAACCAGGCTTCATTAATTCAGCTGCTCGGGGAACAGCGTGTTTGGAAAGGTCGAGATGTTTCATTTGACCTAAACAAAATGCTTGGACATTCTTCAGTTGAAATGTTTCATTCCTGCCTATTGAACCAAATCAAAACACCCAGCTTTGGTGAAACACTGTAATGAGGAGCCTGGGAGGGAGCAGCTGTAACTTACTCCAGCAGCACTTGTCTGCCCCAGGGTTGGGAGAGAGTGATGTTCCTTTTCCAAAGGTGCAATGTTGGTCATCTCCAACATACTGATGAATTAATATGGATTTCACCCCAGGAATTAGAAGACAATTAAATATCCCAATCTGTCTGCTCCTTCTGCCCTGTAAACGGCTGTTCGAAGGGAAAAAGAAGGTGTGATAATGTTTTAATGGCCTGGTCTTCTAGAAAAAAAGGGGCCAATGTGACCTTCCTCTGTGTGTGGCCTCACCTTGAGTACTGTGTCCAGTTTTGGAACCCCTACCATAAAAAAGACATGGAGGTGCTGGAGCGGGTCCAGAGAAGAGCAACAAAGATGGTGAGGGGTCTGGAGAATAAGTCTTATGAGGAGAGGCTGAGGGAGCGGGGGGTGTTCAGCCTGGAGAAGAGGAGGCTGAGGGGAGACCTTATTGCTCTCTCCAACTCCCTGAAAGGAGGGTGTAGAGAGGTGGGGGTCGGTCTCTTTTCTCAAGTCACAGGCGACAGGACGAGAGGAAATGGCCTCAAGTTGCGCCAGGGGAGGGTCAGGCTGGATATTAGGAAAAATTTTTTCACTGAAAGGGTTCTCAGGCATTGGAATGGGCTGCCCAGGGAGGGGGTTGAGGCACCATCCCTGGAGGTGTTCAAAGGACAGGTTGATGTGGTGCTGGGAGGTATGGTTTAGTGATGGTGATGCTTCTTGTTTGTTGTGTGGGTGTCTATTTTTGTCAGTTAGGTTGACGGTTGGACAAGATGATCTTTAAGGTCCCTTCCAACCTAGAAGATTCTGTGATTCATTGTGCACATGCTCACATTTGTCTGTCTCTCCTCCCAGTTGTGTCTTTAGTTAATGATTCAGTTCAAACAAATTCTGGCATGTTTATACATATGATATGGGGAAGATATGTCAAAAGCAGTGGGCGTTGTGTGTTCTACCCTTTGGAGCATGAGCTAGCCACTAGCCTCAAGTCCTTCCCTCCTGCTCTCAGATGTGTGTCAGTGAACAATGAAGCGTGGTAGACAGCATCATTTGTTGACAGACCCCTTCTTCCCTCTACACCATTGCCTGGAAGTTAATCCAGCCTCCTAAGTGGAAAACTGTGATTATAATCATTGCCCTGATTTGGATATGGTGAGTTTGAACTTGGAGCCTCCTCTCTATTAGGAGCTCTTTCTAAGCACTCCGCTATGAATTTTGGGGTGCAGCTGTCCCTTGGTGTGGCATGATACAGCAAAATGGCACAAAAAAATTAGGAAGAGGGAGCCTACAGGGCAGAGCTGGTGCCCCAGGGTGAGCTACTGAAGGCAGCTTCATGACTGATAGAGATGGGGTTTCCTGGAGTTCAGGGTGCCACAGGAGAGGTAACGTTCTCTGCCCAAGACGTGCTCTCCTGAAGGCTTCCTCTACAGCATTTTTCCCTGCTGACTGTTTGTGGACAATAGTTTTCAAAGTCATTTGATCCCACTGAACGTCAACAGGGTCAGGGCCACTCCTGGAGGCTTCCAAAAGCCCCTTTTAAGGACGCCAGATCCTAGGAACAGCAAAAGCAGCCATTGGTCTGATCTCAGGAACAGCCTGGCGTGTTGACACATCAGTGAAAGGCAGCTTTAACACACAGTCTGTTCACCCTGCGGCTGCCAGTTCGGCTGCCACTCCGAGTGTTTGATCTAGCAAAAGCTCCAGCTCAGAAAAACAAAGCCCAGCGTTTCTAGTTCCTGGCTTAGGGAGCTCGTCGCCCCTTGTGCTGTTTCTCTGCTATCACAAGGCTATTTTTTAATGTTTCCTAGTTCAGTTCATCCTCAACCGAAGCCACACTCCGTTAAGCTGTGCGCCAGCTGCAGATCTCTCTTTAGACCGCTTGCACTGTAGGGTTTCACCTCCTTATCACCCCAGTGCTTTAAGCTTGCCTGCCATTAATTGCTAATTTAACACAGGCAGGTGAATGAGCACCACTGTCCCAGGGCTGGAGTGATGTTTCCTCGGGTATCCCAAGGGATGGGATTACAAATGATGCTGGAACTGTGTCTGATGTTGTGCCGTCACCATGCCACGATGAAATGCAGGGGGAGAAAGGACTACAGAATTTCTAACACCCTGTTTTTTGTAATTTTAAAAAAAAGTCATATGGAAAAAAGTGACACTGTAGGCAACACTCCCAGGGAGCTGGTGAAGCTAATCTGCATTGCAGTGGTGCTGTCTGACCCAGACACTCACCCAAGCAAAGCTGATTTGTGCTCCAGTCATTTCAGCTCTAAGATGAGCTGAGGGATGCATCTTCCCCCCAAAATTTAGGCTTCCCCACCAGATCTGGTTAGAGGTAGATTGCCTGATGGAGCGTGTCTCATACAATACTCAAAATATTGAAGCGCATTCAAATGTGTAGTCTGAGAAATAGGCACTGAAAAGGATTTAGTTTGTTGAGGAGACACCGATGTGAGAGATGAGAGAAGTTTTCTCAGTGAAAGATGGGTTTGCTGTGCATGTTGCCTCTCTTTGGTTCTCCCCACCTTTGCCAGGATGGGGAGGTCCACATAGTCCCCTCTTGACCACTGATATTTGAAAAGGGGAAGAAAAAGGGGATTAGGAGATGTTATCACTTTCATTTTGTAATTGGAAGGGAGCCTTGATATATTCATTATCTGCTCACAGCTGATGCTGTGCTGTCTAACAGCAACGAATTTGCAGGATGACAATTATACCACTGATGGCATAATTTATTGGTTTTTTGTTACCCGAGGTAATTCCAATGAGGTAATAAATCTACATGTCAGTAAGAAAATACTCAGTTTACCAGCTGTGCTCTATTTTATAGCCATGGGTTTAAAACTTTGAGAGAAGTATTTCCTAAGAATTGCTTTGCAATTAAAGGCAAAGAGGAAATTAAATGTTCCAATTTTGTTACCAAAAAAAAAAAGAAAAGATTTGTTCCTCATAATTTGTCTTTCTGTTAATATTGCATAACACAGTGTCTTTGTCTTTTATTTGCTTATCAGCTCAGCCCAAAGATAGTATTGAAATATCAAACTGGAACTCTGCTTCATCAGGAAACATTAGCCTTTCAGTGATGCTGTCAGGAAGGCACCAGAACCATTTCAGCCCTTTGTTGGCTAACTCAAGGAAGATTGCCCAGAGCCTTGGATGCATGGAGAATCATGGAAGGACACAGTCTGCTTATGAGGACTACCAAAAGTCTGCATCCAGGTACAGACACGGTTGAGGCTTTCCTTTAGGTTATTTTTGTAGGGAAGATTTGGTGTTTGCTGCCATGGAACACAAGCAAACAAACCCTTGATGAGAGACTGGGTCATTATCCAGGTGGATATTGGAGAACATCAGAGGCTTTGAATTGTATAGATTGCACTTATTGCTTTTGGGACAGCTGCCCCCAAATTGGACTTCGCCTTCAGAAAGGATAAATCACCATGTCCTTCATTCACCATGTCCTTTTCAATATGTGTTAACACAAATAAAAAAGGATACCTCCCTCGTGAAGGTAGTCCATAAAAGGAGCAGAAACAAGCAGATACCTCAATTCCTGGTTGATTGTCAATATTTTTCTGGCAATGTGATGTCCTAAAATGAACCCAGTACATTTTTTTTCAGAGCTCATGCCAACCTAAATCCAGAGTTTCTAGCAGAGTAGTGCTTAAATAAAACAAAGCATCATGGATGAGGTTGCATGTTTGGTGCCTCAGCCCAAGATGCGAGGAGTGGATGAAGTCTATGTTGCCCATATTAGAAGTGGGGAGATCTCTTTTTACCTGCATTTGCTCCTAGGGTGAATTTTTTTATATTCAGTGAAGTTTGGTCACACCAGGCACTGGTGCATGTGAACATCAGGATCAGTATCTCCAGCTTTTCCTCTCCGCAGCTGCACAAAAGGAATCTTCCATTCTGTGCTCCACAAGGACAGTTCCATAAAATTATAACAGCCTTTTTTGTTCTGTCAAATTGCAAATGCATCATTGGCTTCCTCCTAGACTCCTTT